AAAGGAGAAGAGGACGGCAGAGGATGAGATGGTTAGATAGCATCACTGAAGCAATGAGCATGAAACTGAGCAAACTCAGGGAGGCAGTGAAGGACAGGAAGGCCTGGCGCGATATGGTTTGTGGGGTCACAAAGAGTCGGACACGACTTAACGACTGAACAAGAACAAGTGAATGCCAGGGATGGCATTATCTCTTTCTCACCATTATATTTTAGTATCTTTAACATGTGATTTGTGACAATGAATCACTAGCAAAGACTTGGCTTTAATTTTGCACAGCTTATCTTTGAACTCCAGTTCTAACTTTCCAGTATTCTTCCAGCACAGTAGGTTGAAGATCAAGATTGCTGGGTGTACAGGTATATCTACTTAAAGGAGAAAGGGTTTCTTCTAATGGACTGTTTGTTTTCTTCTCTAGCAACTAAAACAGCAGCGGGACAAATTAAAGCAATATCAGAAAAAGATTTCTCTACAGCTGGAGCGGGAGAGGATTGTTGCTCGTCAACTACTAAAAGATGGCAAGAAAGAGTAAGTCACTTCTGGATGGAGTTTGAGCTTACAGACTATATATTATTAGTCAAGGTATTCTCAGTGTAAGGTACTGCAGCTGTCCCCTGGACACATTTGGGTTTGGTAGGGACTGGGTAGGCAGCATTTTCAGTAGATGCCCCTAAGTTCTGGAATTCCTTTTTCAGGGAGCCCATCTCATTTCCTTGCCAACAGACTTCCAGAAGTTAATGAAAAACTTTCTTTTTAGAAGAGATTGTACTGTATAATTGTTTTTCTGTTTATAACCATTTGGCTGTTTTGGGGCTGGGGGTTTTGGGGGTGGGTTTATTGCAGCTATTGTGTTTCTCTGCTATTTTCTGAGGTTTTACATTTCTAAATTATTTTTTACAATAAATGTAAATATTTTAAAAAATAAAAATAATAATACTTGGAAACAGATTGGCAGCCAGTGCAATTTAATCATTTTAGTGTTTAACATAATGGCCATAAGCTTTTAAAACATTTTACAAGATTAAAAAGGGAACAAATATATCAGTTTTGTTTGCTATAATGGTGAAAATTAAGACTTACTTGTCCACAGGCAGTTTGCCAGGCTATTTCTATAACCGACCTGTATGTTTTTTCCAGGGATATTTAGTTAACTTGTATTAGAAAATCCTGAATTAAATGATTTTATTATTGAGACCAGACAGAAATGGCTTGGTATAATGTTTTTCTAAACTTGTTTTCCCATCCACTCCCTTTTTTCTCCTTCTAGGAAAGCCAAGCTTCTGCTAAAGAAGAAGCGTTATCAAGAGCAACTATTAGACAAAACTGAAAACCAAATTAGCAACTTAGAACGCATGGTATGTGGGATTTGGACTAGTTTCTGAATTGCAACTGGCCGCTTGATTTTTAGGATTTCTGAAGTGTGGCTTATATGTAAGCTCCTGAGATTAGTTTAATTCACTTCTGATATAAGTGGACTTCTTTAACTCAGGATTCACCTTGACGCTTATGGTGGAATGCTGTGGTTTAAGCTTCTCTTAGGAGTACTGTACGTATTCACAGATAAGATGACCCTCAAAATTTCAATCCAAATACCATGAAAAATATGTCACCCACAGATAAGTCAACCCTCAAATTTTTAACCTAATTTTTAATCAAAATACTGCTAAGCATTTGGCCACTGTTTGCACAGTTGGGCCATGAGGGGCTTTAAAAAATCTGAGCTGTGGTCTGCAGATAAGCCAAATCCAATTTTTGGGATGTATTTTGGAACCTAAAATTCCCAGCTTATTTGTGAGTATACATGGTATGCCTGTTCTTGGCACAAGTGTATGTTGCTTGTCTTGAGAGCAGAATGATAGTTTTGTACAACATCAACTACTTTAATGGTCACATGATGTTGACTGAACTGTCCCTTGGTCCACCTTTTCTTGTTGGTCATCCAGTCCTCTAACCAAATTTTTGTCACTGCTGTAATATGCTTGCATTTTAGAGGAGGAGTGATAGATTCATGTTTTCTGTGTACCTTTTTGCAAGAAAGGGGGAAAGGCAGAGGCATCAATAATTACTTTGAACAACTTGTAGTCCTGTTGATTCAGTGGACACTGGATTCATTTAGTGAGGTTAATATAACTTTGATTTCTCCTGCTTTTATTGGTGACATAGCAAGATTCTCATTTACTGAGGGAAGGCTAGTCATTTTACTTGGAGCCAGGTCCATGCATCACAGTAGACTAGTCATATGTACAAGGTGTCAGCCAGTGAAATAGGCTGCCACAGGATGTGGTGAGTTCTGTTTGCTAGAAGTCTTCAAACGGAGGCTGGATAGTCATCTGTCAGAGATGCTGTCGTGTATCTTGCACTGAGCAGGGGGTCGGATTAGATGACCTCTCTGGTCATTTTCAGCTCTGATTCTGTGATGATTTATAGTTCATTTGATTTGGGATGACAGGTTGTATGAACCCAGCCATTTATGGGTTTTAAACCATTGCTTAACTTGCAGTGTGCAGTACAAGCTCAGGCAGTTCTAGCTTATTCATCTGAGGCTTACCCCACTAGGTGATACCAGCCCTAGACTCTAGTTCTGCCAAGCAGCTAAGGATGTAGCTGGACTGCCTGTACTTTATGGCCAACAGCACAAGTGATTGCCAAGAGGAAAATGTTTGGCTTATGTGATTCAGGCCCTGCAGTGTTGTACAGAAACTAGTGGCAAGCCACTGAAATGTAGCAGTGCAGCATTCCCACGCAAACCACTTTTTCTTACCTTGCCCTGGTTGCCTTTAAGGCAGCAGTTGGGAAGTAGATTTTGCCTTGTCCCATGACCGCTTTCCTTAGAATATGGCGCTCCTTATCCTTGTCTTCTCTCGCAGGTCCACGATATTGAATTCACGCAGATCGAGATGAAAGTGATTGAGGGCCTGAAAATTGGCAATGAATGTTTAAATAAAATGCATCAAGTGAGTATGAGCAGAGCTGCCTCCCCTCTCTTAAACTACATTCCATTGCCAGTCATCTTTTCATGTGAATTTGTGGGGCTCTCTTATAGGTTATGTCAATAGAAGAGGTGGAAAGAATCATGGATGAAACCCAGGAGGCTGTAGAGTACCAGAGGGTATGTATTGCTGGCATGGCCCATTCTGCAGTGCCTGGTGTAAGGCACCGTGTTTTTATTACTTGGATTCCACCACCACTCCCTTGCATTTTTAAGGTACTTGCACTGTACAGTCTATCTTGTTTATATGCAGTGGAAAGTACCTTACCGTATTGCCTGAAAGTACCATATTTTTCCATCTATAAGACGCCCCATGTATAAGGCAACCCCCACTTTTCCAACCCAAAATTAAGAAATCAATA